TATATATATATTCCTAGAAGCAATGGTTCAGTACTTGCTAATTCAGTGTTCCCAGTGGCTTTATAACTACCTCAAATAGTGAGAACTGACTGTAGTAGATACCTCATACTTGTACAGGACCTCACTGCTGCAATCTTTCCCACCTCTGGATGCATTAGGCTCCACCATAACTCTGTGAGGTTACGTTGTCATGATTCTCCCTTTACCTATACTGAATCCAACATAGAGAAAGGAGGTGCCACATGCCCAGGGTTTTGCATGTGTCTAACAGTGCGAGCCAGCACCTAACTGAATTTCTGGTTTTTTCTCGTTCCTCTGCCTGTGCATCTCAGCCTTCTCCAGGGACTTCCCGCAGCACACAGGATACAATCCAAACTCCTGGTAACCGAGACTTAGCAGGCCCTGATGATCTGATCCTGCCCCTTCGCTGGCCTCTCCTTGCACAGCCTTCTCGCCCCACACAGGCCCCTCCTCATGGGCCTTCATCTCTCCCTTGAGTTTGGTCCCATTCCAAGGCCCTCCCACCATCTTCCCAGGACTGTGATCTGAGGCATTCATAGCTGGTTTCCTATTGGCCATTCAACCATGCACCAGCTCTTATGCCGAACGCACACATACACCTTCCCCTTTTCTAACACTAATAAGGTTTTCTTCAGAAAATCCACTACCCTCCATCAGCCAGGGGCCTCGCAACCCAGTTATTAGAACCCCATTTACCTTGCCAATGATTGGTTTAGGGAAGGGTGACTGATTCTGCCCAGTGAGATGTGAGAAGTCTGCCAGGGATTCTTGGAAAGGCCTCCTTGATCAAAGAGAGGCACCAGAAGTGACATCGCATCCTCCCACCGGATGTTAGGTCATGTGAGAAATGACAGCTGGAACTGCCGCAGGGATCCAAGAGCCTTGAGGGAGCTGGTGGACAGCCAGGATGACACCGTGAGCCCAGAAGGACAGAAAGACAGAAGGAGCCTGGGCCCTTGATGACCTGGAGGGGCTGCTGGACCAGCCCACCTGGAACCGCCTGACTTGCAACTTCTTATCAGGTGATGTCCTTGTTTTTTGTTAAGGCCATTTTGATCCATGTTTTTTTTTGTTACTCGCCACCAAAATCATCATAAATTATAT